GAACTCTGAATCATCGGTTCGTGGTCGGAAACTCTACGCACTGCGCTATGGAGACATGTTCGATTTATATTCAATACTAGAATTTATAGGACTAAATTAATAAAAAATATAGGATCTTCTTCTGATGCGCAGTAGTGAACGCAACGGGTATCGGCAGCCAGACGGGCCGCATGCTGTTCCAGAGAGCATAGTAAAAGATTTATCAAAGAGCCAGACGTCTTAGACTAATACTAAAGTGTCAAAACGAATCAAAATATGACAAAATAAACAAATAAATGTGGCAACTTGACATTTTTTACTGCAGAGCTACCACCTGAATCGCCATTGAGAAATCTAAATTCCAGTTAGTCGGTCCATCGCACAGTGCTTCGAACATATGGCTCTAGAGGACAAAAATGCAAAACTTCTCTTTTATTGTAGGCAATTTATTCAAACTAGGTTTATTTGACACAAATGATGAGTACTCTCATTGTACTAAATGATGATGTTCTTAGTCCCACGTTTATGAAAAAAAATCTTATAAGCGGTCAACGGAGGGCGTTTTATAGGCCTATAGCAGTGTAAACCTGCTTTTTTAATCGATTGAAGACCGTCTGAGGGATAATACGTACATTGCTGGCAGCCAAAAGGTCCTGGCTAAGCAACGTGTAGTTTCTTGCAGGATTCTTCCTAACTCCTCTCATTAAGCGTCGGTCCTCCTTAGCATTTGTCGGCCTTGGTCTAACCTCCTTATGCCTCTCCATGACAGATCCAGTCTCATTAAATCGGTTTTTAAATCTAGATATTACATTTTAGGTGACTTTAAATCGATCAGCCATATCGATCCGTCGCGCACCGCCAAGAAGCAACCCATTGCACAGTGCTTCGAACATATGGCTCTAGAGGACAAAAATACAAAACTTCTCTTTTATTGTAGGCAATATATTCAAACTAGGTTTATTTGACACAAATGATGAGTACCCTCGTTGTACTAAATGATGATGTTCATTGGAGCTGTGTTCCATCTAAGGAAATAATAATTTATAGTATGAAAGCGGTGTAAGTATTAAATAAATGCCTGTGATAAAAAAGAATTGGAATAACATTAGAATATGATTCCTACAATATAAACCTAATATAAGATAAAAATGTTTTTCTTTAATGAAAAAGAAACATTAATGCTATATTTAATTTAAAAAAAAACTTAAGATACTAAAATTTACTTTAGGACAACAAAATGCATAGATCGTAACTACTCTGATTCAGAAGAATCATTGCTGACAGAACCTTCCAAATTTATAGTATCCAAATCACAGGTAGATGAAATATCCTCACATATAAGATATTTCTGTACATCATTTTCTAATATGTTACTTTTTCGCGTTGTTACTGTTCTTTTTGTTCGTATGAGGGGTTCGGATGTTAATAGTTACCTCTTTAATAGACCATATCCATATATTATTTTTTCGTTTTCTTGGGTATGAGGTTTTATAATAAATTGAAAGATGGGGAAACATTTTTTATGCCACATTTCGCTCCAACATAGTGGGCTCAGGCACAAGTGGTTATCAAATTGGAATGGAAGGTTCATCAATATCTAATAAAGAACACATTTTTTGAAATATAAATAATTTTGAGTTCTTGTCCTTATGATTAAGCCAAATATTAACCAGATCGGCATTGCTTATCAATTTTACTCCATCTGAAAAGTATTAAAAAATAAAGTTCGTCGCAAGCGGACGCAGGTGAACTATACAAAAATTAAAAGTGTATGAATATGGCAACAAAAATATTCAATAAACACGATATGTTTTGATATGTTTTTTTTTTATGACTTTTTGAAGTTTGAAAACGTAACATTTTTATACCCATTTAAGAATCATCTTAAAAAATAAATAAAAACTAAACAATAACGAACTTGTTTAGGAATAAATTTAAAGTACATACCTTGTTTAACAATATCCATAGTGGCTTTCAATTAAGTACGTACCGTTTAACTCCATATACAGAACTAATATGAATGTTATTCTTTTCACTGATATAAGATAATGATCGCAAAATTTATTTTTAGTGAAAATATTTGCTAACAACAAACGCTGTTTATGAAAAATAATATTACAGGATGGTTGAACATTGCTACAAGTATAAAATTACATATTCAGATATTAGTAAATTTTAACTTTTTTTCGATTTTTGTCCATGGGACGAAGCACTGTGCGTCGGTAACAATGAATTTAATAACAGCACTCTCGATGACGTAACTAAAAATTTATTTGGTATCTCTTATAGAATTCTAGGTATCTCTAAATTAATTATACATTCGAAGCAATAAACCGTTTTATATGTTTTAAAAACGCCCTTTTTCAATATATATTTTCGTTCGAATTATTTTAGGACGTGACAAACTACAGGCAGCAATAAACAACGTTTTATTATTTATAATAAAAATAATAATAAATAAAATAATACCGAACTATATCCAGAGATATGCGTCTAAAATCGATAGGCCATAAAACTGATGGAACAAAATTGGCCAGCGGACAAATTAACACTTTATGGCCTTTATAGAACGCAGCGGGTTATACAAACCAGAACAATAAATCCAATGGAATATAAGATATTTCCAGTAACTCTATATGTTTACTTTAGTGTTGTTCTTAGTAGTTAGTTCTCGAAAAATACAGTTTATTTATTTATTCGTGTCCAACTCAGTATATGAAAAAAAATCAAGAAATACAAAAATATATAAAAACAAATGCGAAATACTTTAGGGGCTGATTCCTTGTTCAAAATAAAGGGTAGTTTGCTTTATAAACGTTGGGTCAAAAGTCAACCATTAGGGAGATATCGCGGTACAAAGATGGCGAAAAAATAATGTTTTTATTTTTTATCTTGAATACAAAAAGAGATAGACTAATGAAATTATATGGAAGCATTACTGTTATGTAAACACACTTTCTGATAATTTTTTCATTTTTTTAAAATGAGTGGAAGGGGTTGAAATAAACTACCCCTATCATTCTTGTTAACGAAATTTAAAGAAAAATCTTATCAAACACATGCAAATGCTTTAATTTAGATAGTTTAGTTTGTTTAAAAACTTTTTTATCTCTTGTATTTTTTTGATAAAACTCACCGATTTGAAATTAAAAAATAAAATGTAAAGCATTACATGTCAGGACAAAAAACATTTTTAGATTAAGAATCTAGTGATAATAACGATAATAATAATCATCTAGATAATAGCGTATTGCAGTAGAGTTATGTCAAATAAAATAATATTAAGAACATCCTAAAAAGTAACAGCGGCCGACTAGATTTTTTCCTAAAAAAATTACAGCAGCCCACTAGATTCTTTATCAGAAAATGTTTTTGGCCCTGACATGTAATGCTTTACATTTTATTTTTTAATTTCAAATCGGTGAGTTTTATCAAAAAAATACAAGAGATAAAAAAGTTTTTAAACAAACTAAACTATCCAAATTAATTTTTTTGCATGTGTTTGATAAGATTTTTCTTTAAATCTCGTTAACAAGAATGATAGGGGTAGTTTATTTCAACCCCTTCCACTCATTTTAAAAAAGTGAAAAAATTACCAGAAAGTGTGTTTTCATAACAGTAACGCTTCCATAAAATTTTATTAGTCTATCTCTTTTCGTTTTCAAGATAAAAAATAAAAACATTATTTTTCCGCCATCTTTGTACCGCGATATCTCCCTAATGGTTGACTTTTAACCCAACGTTTATGAAGCAAACTACCCTTTATTTTGAACAAGGAACGCCCCCTGAAGTTTTTCGCATTTGTTTTGAAACACCCTGTATATAAAATATACAAAACGGCTAAATTAATAAAAAAGGTACATCATACATTTAAAAAAAAACATAGTCAAACAATCAACATAAATAGGAACAAAACTTAGACAAATTAGACAAACTACAAAAAATATATATGCACACATCGGTTATATACAGGATATCCAGTACTTGGCACACCCCAGAGCGTTGGTATTTTCCTCCCCTAGATCACTCTGACTGAATATGTTTGGGAGATTTGGGCATACGAGAAGATGCCTCATATTTTGTTCCTCTCCGCATTCACAGGATACAGGTCCGTCAAGGTAGCCCCACTAGTTCATGTTTGTCTTGCATCTGCCAACCTGAGTACGCAAACGGTCCAGACTCCTCCACACCGGCCATGCCTGTTCCGCACCAGGTGGTAGGCTCTCTTTTGGCCTTAGAGCAAAATCGTTTGGAGTTGTTGAAGTTGCTGACCACAACTCTGGTCTCTTTGCCGTGCTGCTATCAAGTGGCTGGAGGCAGAAAGAAAACTTTTTCGAGATTTCAACCTGGGTCCAGCGGCGTATTGTCCGAAGGGCGGATGCCGGGTATCGGAAAGAGCTTACTGGTTCTCTTTCATGCAGGAAACTTGTCTCCTTATGTGGTGTGGAGCTATCCCGCTGAGGACTTGAAAGATTTTATGTAAAATTTTTACTTAAAAGATAATGTTTAGTGAAAGTACTTTTTTCTTTATAAACATTTATTTAATTCTGTTTTTAGTATTGGTTCTTATAGCGGCAACATAGATACATTATCTGTGAAAATTTCAGACGGTCAGACGGACAGCGAAGTCTTAGTAATAGGGTACCCGTTTTTACCCTTTACGGAATACGGAATACGGGTACGAAATCCTAAAAATGTAATCAGTCATTCTCATGTTTGATAATGTGGAAATTACCATTTAGCTTTTTTGACTACTACAAGCTAAAAATGTATATTTAACTTAAAAACAAAAAGGACAATTAAACATTCAACACAGCACAAAATGCATATTTAAAAAAAAATCAACAAATGAATTTTTTTGAAATGTTCATTAGAATGTACTTTTTTAAAAATAATTTTATATTATTTTATACAAATTAATAAATAGTTTAATAATTTATATTACATAATACAGAATATTTGTACACGTAACAAATATACTTCTTATAATTAATTCTAATTAATTACAATTCTTTTTTCAGTACTACACTCCAGCAAATCAAATTGGTCCAGCAACTGACAATGAGGTACCCCACAGCAACACCCACACCCAAGTCTAAAATCAAAAGAAGAAAACAAAAAATCAAATTAATCAACACTAATATAATCAAAAGTACAGCTCAATGCAACCGCGGAGAACTAGGAAATGTCAACAGCTGTGTTCTGAATATTTTTGTTATTTACTTAATAACACTGTTTCAAGAAGAAATGGTATCTATCTATGATAACATCATAATTAATCAAAAGTTTTTGACTTTTATAACATATCTTTAAAAAGATACTTGAATGTTTTAATATAATAAAAATATGTTTAGATGTATTATGAATAAACATGTCAAGCGCATATACAGGGCGAGTATTAAATAAAGGCAAATATTTTCAGTGCTGATAGATCTCGAGAAAATAAACATATTTTGTCTTTACCGTTTTTCAAATAAGTCCAAAATAACCGAGTTATTCAAGTTTGAAATTTAAAAAAAATATATTTTTAAAAAATTTTGAGAGCCACCGGATTTTTTTGCGGTAAACAGGCAGTTCTAAAAAGTTTTCTAAAATATACAGGAAAATTTAAAAAATGCACGATTTTCAACATATTATTTTGGAAAAAACCTTCACAGACGTGTTTCTGGTGTCGAAATATACCACCCCTCAAGATATTTGCAATTATTTAAGACTCAACCTGTATAATTCAGTCCATCTTAGAGTAATTTTTGTAAACTATTCAATACAGTGTAAAAAATGTAAACATTATTTTACATAACCAAAAATGTACAAATTTATGTTTAAACTGTCCCGATAATTTAGTATTAATATATTTATACGTACCGTTAATTTTACAGATATGAAGAGTTTTATATAATTTCATATCTTTAAACTACTTATATTAAAGAAAAGTTATATGCTAATATTAAAATAGACTAAATACTCAAATATAATATCTAAAACATTTTTGTTACTTAAAATCAAAATAAAAAATATATTATAACTGTTATAGGTTTGTAGGTAGAAATATGTGTTACTCATAATATCATTTTTATATTTTATCGTATATAGCGTTTAATGTTGTTATATTTTTGTTATTTTTCCACTATAGGATACTGGTACGATTTCGTACATTATTATGTATATCAGTAACAATAAATATATTAATTAAATCTTATTTAAACTATTCAGTCGTTTTATTTCAGTGTTATTGTTTGTATTATTTTGTTATAATTATTAAACTCTACCCTTGTAAAAAATATATACCGGGTTCGTCTGGAACGTAGCTCACCCCTATAATTTTTTTTATTTTTTCAGATAAAAAACGAAATTTGGCATGTTAGTATATTAAAATTAGGATTGATTGACGTATTCAAATGTTTTTAGACACTTTTTGTTTTACGGGAAATGGCTACAACTTTTGATTTTTAAATGGCACCCTCGGTATATTTCTACTATTTGGATAGAAAAAGACACGCTGAGTAGACTGACATATCATATGTCAACTTTTGACATTTTCGCTTTAAAAAAATCGTATTTTAAATTTCAACCTAGAGTGCTATGGCTGTGTTAGAAACAATATTTTTGAATCAAGGAGCCTTGAAAAAATAGATTTGATTGTCTAATGTTTTTCGTGTCTTGTCCTGGCCGGATAAAAGATGTCCAAATCGTATTTTTAATCATATCTCAATTTTTTCAAATGGAACGAGGGTGGCTCAATAGGATATTTGGAAAAGGATTTTTTTTAGGAATAATTTGGTACCACACACTTGGTATTTCGAGTCAAATTATCGTTATGAACCTCATGTTTCAAATAACCCATATACAAAAATGTCAAAAGTTGATATATGATATGTCACTCTATTCAGAGTGTCATTTTCTATCCAATAAGAAGAAACATAAAAAATAAGTAGAAATATACCGAGGGTGCCATTTAAAAATTAAAAGTTGTAGTCATTTTCGGTAAAACAGGAAGTGACCAAAAACAGTTGAATACCGTTAATTAATCCTAATTTATATCATATACTAAAACACCAAATCTCGTTTTTTTATCTAAAAAAATAAAAAAGTTTTAGAAGTGAGCCACTTTTAAGATGCACCCGGTATAATATATCAAAAATATCAATTTTTCTTCAGAAAATAAGTAATTGTTTTTTGATAATAGAGAAAGAAAATAAGATAAAATAAAAACTGCAAAAATAACTCTAAAAAAAATATCTTTAAATGTAGCATTATTTTAACGCAGATTTTAATGCATTATTTTAATATAATTTTTAGAAAAATTGATGGTTCCTAAATTGATTCTCTTAAGGGTATTTGGTATTTGGAAAGAACCAAAATGTACGAATTCCTATTAAAATAGAGGGCAATACCTTAGAACAGGTCTACAAGTTCAAATATTTGGGGTCCTGGATAGTTAACACCTTGTACAACGATGTGAAAATAAAAACCAGAATAGAACAACCGAGAAATGGATTTTTAAAAATGAAGAACGTTTTCCAGAACCCCAAATTGGACCTTAAGTTGAGAACTAGGCCCGTCAGGTGTTATGTTTGGTCAATCCTATTATACGGAGCAGAAGCATGGACGCTGAAAGTTCAAGAGATGAATCTACTCGATTCGTTCGAAACATGGATATATCGAAGAATGTTTAAAATTCCATGGACAGCCCATATTACAAATACCGAAGTTTGTAACAGAATAGGCAGAGAAAGAGAATTGCTCAATATAATAAAAATAAGAAAAACATCGTACTTAGGGCATATATTGAGAAATGAAAAATACCACGTCTTACAATTATTAATAGTAAAGGACAAAATTGAAGGAAAAAGAGGTCTCGGTAGGAAGAAACTTAGTTGAGGAACATCAGAAATTGGACTCACCTAACTTTTGAAGAACTCATAAGGAAAGCCAAGATTCGTGAAGATTTTGTCAATGTGATCGCCAACCTCCATGAAAGAGACGGCACGTAAAGAAGAAGATGAAGAAGAAGGGTGCTTGGCTATCGTATAAGATGACTATTTCTTGGTTCCGATAGTTCCTATCTAATATAAGTTGTACGCATCTTTCGATAGCTTAGATTCCTGTTTGAAGGATACTTGGGTAGGTGCCCGTTATGCCTATATTAATTTCCTAATATTAGTAGTAAAGAAAAGAAAAAACACACTGTCTATGATAACTTATCTCTCTGAGCTTCATTTCTTATTTAAATCTAGCAAGCTGTCCTACACGCTGTAAACATTCAGCCAACGGATCGGTTTCTGTGACCTACTTTTCTCCTTTTTTTGCTTTTTCTGCGTCTTCCAGATGAAAAACGGTCTCTTTTACGATGTGAAAAATGTCAGCCGATCGTCTGTGCCTATGCAATATCATCGCACGATTTTCTTTAACGAAGATTTCCATATAAAATTCTATATTTTATTTTAAATTGTTTCGTTAAATCTCAAAACATCTCTGATTGTCCATGTCATTGTGTTTGTTATGATTATTTTTGTTTCTGGAAGTTACACAAATTTACTGTCCGATCAAAAACATGAAATGTAAAAAATGGAGATTTACTTATTAAGCAAAAACAGGCCAATTCCATCTTTACCTACTGTATCAAGAGTTAGTAATAATTTTGAAACACATGGGTGCATGTTCCCACAAAAACACAAAAAGCCTGATGTGTTGATTAATGAAGAACAGGAGTTAAAGCAAGTGTTCATTTGTGCTACCGCGGATCAAAATCCCACGTTTTCAAGTAATCAAATTGCTGAGGTGGTTGTCCTGCCCACAATGCCCGTATTGTTCAAGAATATTTGAACAATACTTTTCCCAACCGTTTAATTAGTGGATATGGAACTATTTTGTGGCCCGCTAGATCACCAGATCTTTCTCCCAATGATTTATTTTTGTGGGGTTATGTAAAATCGAAAGTGTATGGTCATAATAAGGTTAAAAATCTGGATGAGCTTCAAGTAAAAATACGAGAGGCTTTCCAAACTATTAGCCTTAATATGTTAGCCAATGTCAGACGGGGATTTAACGACCGCCTAGGCTTCTGTCAAGCACAAGAAGATGGTCTTTTTGAACACTTGTTATAACTTTTTTTTATTTAGAGTAATATTTTTTTTTTGGATTTAGAGAATTTATTTATTTTTAGTTTTGGCTTGTAAACACACTCAAATAATAAATATTTAAGTATTTTTATTTTAAATGTTACCTTAAGTGAAGGTAAACACTTAAAATGAAAATAATAAATACTCAACACTCCTCGCGTCGTATTCCTAGTCTGTCACGACCGACCCGTCCAAGCGCAACAGCAACTGCGTACTGCCTGACCAGCCGACTAGCCGGCAGTGAATCTCGAGTACGAACGCAAAACGGGTAAACGTAAATTCGTCCGGCAACTTGCTATGTTACTAGTAGCCTGGTCTTCTCTGTATGTCTATTTAACTTTTTTGTTATGTAACGAGCACGTTGTTTACTCATTTGTTTCGTCGAACTGCTTGAATCCATTTTTGCTTTTCATCAAATCAGTGTGAGAAACTATGCAGCTATAAAATGTTTCAGGAGAGTCGAATATCCGAGAAAGTTGAGTTATTGAATGTTATTGCACCCAACAACGCTCTAATTACGCACTCCATTACGCGCTTAACATTTTTTCAGCAATTTTATGAAAAAAATTGTCACAACACAACACGACGCCTAGTTCGAATTCTTTTTCCCTTATCCTTTACTACCCCAAACTTCCAAGTGGTAACCAACTCAAGGCGGAACTCAAGAATTTGGAAGATTCCATCCGCAACCTGGAATGGAAATCTTGCAATGGTCTAAGACACTCGAAGAAGTTTCTGAGGGCTTATGATCAAGAAAAATCACAGATCTTCCTGGGTCTGAGTAAGAACAATCTTCGGATTGTCACGGGGTTTAACAGGACACTGTCTCCTCAATGAACACCTCAGTAGATTGAAACTAAGAACGAAAGAAACGGCGAATGCAGATTCTGTGGGGAAGATGGTGAAACACCAGTACACCTCATCACTGAGTGCGCCGAGACGACAACCATTCGTGCCATGAATTTTGGTACGACTGATATTGGAGATGGAGAACTACCCTCTATAAAACCGTCCCAGATACTGGCTTTTGTCAAAGCCCTGGGACTGTATGATGAGTTATGATTCAAGAAAGGGGGACACAATGGATCTGTAAGGTCGAAGTGATTAACCCTCCTCCCACTCATTCTAAATTCTAAAAACTCTACTACCCCAAACAGCGTTACATCACACAAACCTCCTCTTACCTGAGTCTAGTTTTATAGTCTGAAACAAACAGATTGCAAAATAATCGATGTAAAATAGTCTCAAAACTGCACTAGCAAAAAAATAAAATACTTAAATATTATGACAAAGCCACGATTTCAATATTATTTTAATGCGATCAACATGAACTCTAACCGGAAAGGCGTGAAATACATAGCGAAAATTTCTGATTTCTGCCGTATAC